TTAGAGAAGCTAAAACTTGGATGCAATCCCTCCATACGTGTATGGAGGATACAGTCTGTGCCCTCCAGCTGGCACAGTTGGCATCCATATAGTCTGCCAAAACATGGGGAGGTGCCGACCACTTAAAGTGGTCGGTCTGCTACTTGCAATGGTCAGTCGACCACTTCAAGTGGTCTCCCAAAAAAAAAGTGGTCAGCTAAGGTAATTGGTGGTCTCCACACTAAAAGCAAGCCAAAGGTGGGCGGGAGACCAGAAAAGGTGGCCAAAAGACCAAGAAAACTAGTTTCCCGACCAGAAAACTGACTGGCAGGAAGAAAAGTGGTCTCCCAGGGAAAAACTGGTCTCCCACCCTCGTACCATCTTCCAAACAAGGAATACAAGATTTGTACCAAAAACAAGCCAAAACGGATGCAAGACGAGAGTTCGAGAGGCAAAGCGCGTAGCCGGGAGCCTCGAAAACAAGCTGTCAAGCACCAAAAGTGGTACACGACCACAACAGTGGTCCCTCGGACCCCAGTGTCCCTCTATGGAGAGGAAGCAAGGTGTGGTTCGAAAACCAATCCAAACGGAGAATGTTAAGCAGTCCCGAGACAAGGTGCACGACTGAAGCACAAAGAGTTCGGAGACCCGAAGGCAGGGCTCTCAGCCAAAACTTCGGAGCTCGAAACGAGCAGAACATGCACTATCACTGGGTGCTTAATCGATGACGTTTGAGTCTTAAGGTCGGCCAAAAATGGGGTGTCTACAACCCTCAAATTATAGACCATTCCACAACTCCATTTATGATTAAGATTAACTTAGTTAAGCAACACTTAGTTTTAATAAATCATGATTAGCATATAATTTAATTAATCATAACTAGTCACAAATCTCACATAATTTAATTAGTCTAATTGATTACAATTAAGGCCCAATTAATTATATTTAAACTTATTGTCAAATTTGGTTTCTCAAATCACTAAGGCCTTCAATTTCATATCAAACTCAAAATCTCCGTCAATAAATTACATACTCAAATTGGACACTTCATAAGTAAATTTAATTTATAATAATCTTAATTCTCAATCCTCATAACTTAATTAACTCCAATTCGGACCTAATTAATCAAATCTTAATTTTACTACACTAAATCGAATATTTAATTAAACTCTCATATGCTCCAATACTTGAAATTAAACTGATTCAACTCATCAATTTCATCTCCTTATGCCATTGAGGCTTTCAATTTCTAATTCCAAAATAAATCCTTAATAGAATCATATACGAACCAGACTCCATAATGCTCATAATCCCAAATTAAATTAGAATAATGATTAATTAAATTCCAAATCTTCTTAATTAATTATATGCAAAATATTATACGTGGCGGGGTTGTCATAGAAAGTCAACAGAAAACAATTTTCATAATCAATGGAAAACAAGCTTATTTAGGCAGGAAATATTTTTCACTTTTAAAAGGGGAAAAATATTTTTCAAACTAAAATTTTACCAATGTCAACAAGCCACCACCACCACTCTTACCTCCACCATTACACCACCATCACCACAACTACCGCTATCATCATCATTGCCATCACCGCCACTGTTGTTCTACCACCATGCCACCACCTCCACCTCCACATTTGTTCCACCACCGGCACCACTAAACATAAAAAATATTTTTCAGTAGAGAATGTTTTCCGTCCAAACAAACAGAGCGTTTAATATGTTTTAATTGCAAAATTGCTAATCAAACTTGTATAAGACTTTTCAATGGATAAAATTGCTGGTCCATTCAATTATTTTATTTATTTATTTGTGACATAGTTGATAGAAAGTAAAATTTAATCAACTTTAAATTTAAAAAGTTTTTTTTTTCGATAAACAATTGAAATTAATATAATTAATCGTATTCTACTCACAATTTATGCATTTGAGAAACTACAATTCTTAATTTCAAATAATTTGCCATATCAATTTTTTTTTTTTCCTGTAAAAACAATCATCTACTAGTTTTAAATAATACACTAGTTTTGAATTTTCGCCAAACTTTGTTGGGATCTTTTAAATTCAAATGAATTTTCCTTTTCTCTTTTTTTGAACTAGCAGAATAGCCAATATATATATATATATATATTGGGTCTTTATTTTTTTCATCAATTTTTTTGGGCCCAAAGCGGTGACTTTGCCGGCCTTGTGCCAAAGCTAGCTCTAATTGTAAATAATTTTATGATTTTATCCATACACTACAAGAATTTACACATTTGCCGACCATTTTTGCCGACCAAAAAAATTTTGGTCGCAAAAAAATGACATTTGGCGACTAAATATTAATTAGTCATGAATGATCATTATTTTTAGCGACCAAATATTATTGGTCGCAGAAGGTTATATTTTGGCGACCAAAAAATGAGTTAGTCGCAGAAAGTGTATAATTTTGCCGACCAACTACAAATTTGGTCGCGGAAGGTCACATATGTTATGGCGACCAAAAATTTGGTCACCAAAAACTTATTTTCAGCAACTAAAAAAATTTAGTCGCCAAATTAGTACTTTTAGCTACTAATATTTTAGTCGCCGTTGATTTAGATTTGGCGACTAAAAAAATTTGTCGGCGAAGGTACCTTTTCTGCGACTAATGTGGTCTTTTGGTCGCCCAAAATTTTGGAGGGAAATTTGAAACGTGGAAGATATAAACACCGAACAAATAAAAAAGTTCTCTTGCTCTCCCTCTCCCTCTCCCTCTCTCTCACCGTTGCCCACAATGTATTCTTTGTTTCTCTCTTTGCTCTCTGTCTATTTTTCTTACTCTTTGACATTCACATAAACACAAACCCTAGGCCACCATTCAAAATCACTACCACCAAAAATGCCTCACACCATGGTCGTGTTGCTCTGTTTCCCCACTGTGAGGTTGGCGGCGAACTGGCCAAAGCAGAGAGCAAACACGAAGAAGGCGCTAACATGAAACGAAACAGGAGCAGCGGCGGAGCAGCAATGGGTTTGGCGGAGAGAGGAAGGATGTTCGGCGGTAGTGTGTGGAGCCGCCTACACTCTACCATTGCTAATCCTCTCAATCTCAGACCTCTTGCATCAGATAAACACGCTCTCTCTCTCTCTCTCTCTCTCTCTCTTTTCCCCAATTTCAAACCCTAACTATAATTTTCAACTTCTCAGATCTTTGCCCCTTCATTGTCCAACCTCACTATCTCGTTTTTCAAAAAACATTTCAATTTTTAAGTGGTATTGGTGGCATGGTGTTCTTATTCTCTCTCTCTCTCTATATATATAGTGTGTGTGTGTGTGTGTGCTTGTGTGTTTGGTCTATCCTTACCAGGTACATATGTGGTGTGTGCTTGTGTGTTTGGCCTCTCCTTACCAGGTATTGATGAACTCTACATCTATATATATAGACCCACATGCAATAGAGTGTTGGTTTGTATCAATGATAGTAGTCATATGGTCTCTCCTTAGTGTTTGGCATGCCTATAAGGTGTTTGTTTTTTGGTCTATGTTAAAATGTTTGGAGGAAAGAAAGAAAGAAAATAGCATTGAATATCTAATTTACGATCTTTGTCTCTTTTTTTTTTCCTTAAGTTTTAATTGATTTCTTTCTTTTGAGCTGAAGTTGTTGCTATGGTTGTGTGTCTTTGTATTTTTTTCTTTTGGAATTGTAGAGTTGATTTGGAATTCCCAAAAGTTGAGGTTCGATTTCAAGACCTGTGTGTCGATGCTTTTGTCCTTGTTGGAAGCAAAGCACTACCCATTATTCCTAATTTCATTTTTAACATGACTGAGGTAAGAATTTTTTTTTCTCCCTTTCGTCCTTAACTATTTTCTAGCTATAGTCTCATTCTGTAGTATGAAATTCTTATTATGTTTCTATTCCTAAAAAATTGGAATAGATCTTTTTGGGGCAGTTGAGGATTTGTCCAAAGTGAAGAAAGAATTTTTGTTCTGATGTTGTTTTGGGGGGGTTATGTTGGCCTGGAAAAAAGAATTTTTGTCAAGGTGTTGTCCAGGCAGAAGAAAGAAGTCTAATGTTGTCTGATGTTGATTTCCAGGCAGAAGAAAAAATTCTTCTGGTGTTGTTTATAAGAGGGCAAAAGAATGAGTTGATTTTTCGACCAAACAAAATTTCTAATGTTGATTTGTTTGGTGGAAATTCTTATAGTTTATTTGTCTCATAATTATTCTTATAGTTTTTAGTTATATATTTATTTGTCTCATAGTTATTCTTATAGTTTTTAGTTGCGTCCTAAATAATTGGTTATAGGTAAATGGTTTCTCTCAGCTGTTGTATTGATGAAACTTAATGTTTAATTTTGATGGGTTGATGACTTTCCAGGTCAGTTTTGTAAATTCGATTGTGACAATTAAGGGTGGGACTCATGTTGATTATGTTACCAACCAGATTACAAACTATGTAATGAGTATTGTTAATAAAAAGAATAAGAATGCTAATCTCAAAGCCCACGCAGTGAAGATCCATCTATGGGTTTTTGTCAATGCTCTTATTGACAACCTAGCTTTTGATTCTCAAACCAAAGAGACTTTCACAATTCGCCAAAGCAGTTTTGGGTCAAAATGTGAACTTTCACAGGAGTTCCTGAAGAAAGGTTTGTTCTATTATTTTGAAATCTTTATTATTATTATTATCATAAATTTCAAAAAAGAAAAGTTGTTTACTCCTTTTGTGAGCGTAATTTTGATGCTTTTGTGGTCAATTCTCCTGCAGTGTCCAAGTCTGGAATAGTGGAAATTCTTATTATGTTTCTATTCCCAAAGTATAAAAGGAAAGAGAATAAGGAAAGAGAATTAGAAATGGATATATTCATGAAATGGTAACCAATTGAAGATAAGTGAAGTGAGAACATACTAAGATGGACTACTTGTATTACTGTACTCTCTCTCTCTCTCTCTCTCTCTCTCTCTCAATGGACCACTGCCCTTTAGAATATTTGAAGCCTTATCTAAATTTTCAAGGTCATGTATCTAGTTGCTGTTGGTGGTGTACATATCTATCACAGTTTGTATTTTGATATTAACGTTTTCATAATAATTTATCTTTCTATTCATTACTTTCTTTTTTCTATGTTTTTCAACTTAAACATCTAAAGTCAATAAATCAATGCTTGCATTTCTGATAGATTCTATATTCAATGAAACAGGCCCCTGTACTTTTCAAAGGGATTGGCCATTCATTAAATTCTGCCAATAACTTGGTAAGGTTAAAGGTCTTTTTGTTTGTCTTTTGCTTTATCTAGTTTTATGTCCTAGTTAGAAGCATGCACATAGAGTGACTCAAAGTGTTCGGTGGATTTGTGTTGAGGAATTCACTTTTGTGATATCTTATGTAATTTGTAGGCTATGAAAGTTCTTGGATCCTCTCCTTCTGCATATTCTGCTAATCCAAAATCCAAGTTGTCAAATCCTCCGTCCCTTTCCAGATCTGCTATATCATTGGTTTCAGTTGTGCAGGTCATTTGTTGTTTTTTTTTTCTTTCTGCCTTGGAGTTTGTTTAAGCGATCTCTGTAATGCTTTTTGCCTATATATGCTGATCAAAAAATGCTATATGCCTATATGTTAACATTTTTAGTTAATTTCTTGTGAAATATTTCTGGAAAAAAAATTCTTATTGGCAGGGATGTCTGAACTTCATATTCTTTAACATTTGTTTTGGGTGCTTTGACCATCTAATATTTATTTGCCCATAACTGAAATAAGTAATTCATGAATGGTTTGCATTTGCATTAATCATTTCCTACACCAATTTCTTTTATATGTGGTTTCACTTTGGAACTTTAACTATAGTTGACAAAGGTTGAAGTCTTTTTATTTTTTATTTTTCTTTCACTATTTTAAATGAATAAATGCTTACTTTTTGGTTGAGATCTACCAAACTTATAGTTAAATCATCTTTGTTTAGATATTTTAAGTGGATAAATGCTAACTTTTTGTATTGAGATCTACCAAACTTGAATCATATTTGTTAAAAATTCTTATATGGTGCAGGCTAGAAATAATGCACGGATTATGATCGCTGGCTTTTTAGATATGTTCAGTAATGGGTTTGTATCGTTGTGCACTTAATCTGAACTTTGGAAGTTTCTTAGGATATTTGATCTCATTATTTAATGTTTGTCCATTATGTGATTCAGATTGTTCAAATCAGGTGTGTAGAAGGCTAGGAGCTCAAATAAGTGAGTAATCCTCTGGTCAATCTTCATTCAGTACTTCTACATGCCAGCTTATTATCCAACTTGTTCTCTGACTTACAATCTAATGGTCCACATTTGTCTGTGTACATCCAAAACATGCATAAAAATGAATAGATGAGACAAAAGTTAAATGCATTAAAGAAGCGTTGAACAGTACCACTCATGAATGTGCTTGTGTCTGTGTGTAAGAGAGAGAGATCGAGATAGATCAGATGTGGTGCCCTGTACTGCCATAGTTTTTGAACACTTAAAAGTGGATTTTCCATTGCAAATTCATCTATACTTGGTGATCTTTCCTTTGTATTCTTCTACTATAGTATTGTTCCTTTTGGTTGGTCAATTGTCATACATCTAGAGTGGGCCATTCATCCTGTATTTTAATTGGTATTTAAATAACTAAAAAAGTAGAAGAAACTTATCTTAAGTGGCGGTTCCATCAAAGTGTACAAAGTACCCAACCTTGGGCCTTTAGGCACAACCTCAAAGAGTGGTTGTCCTTATACTTGAACCACATTTTGCTGCCAGATGCTTGATTCCGTAACCTTTACTATTGTATCAAGCCCTTTACCCTCAAGATATCGACACTATAAAATTAGGTCTAAAGTGATTGTGCCATTGTTACATTGAGGTGTGGAAGTGGAAGAGTTATGTGTGGCCTACTGGATACCTATATTACATAATTTTCTTTGTTCCGTTGGAAATGACCTAAAATCAATGGTTATTACTACATTAGAGTTATCAGCAGAAAATAATTTCATGATTCAATGTTGTGTTTGGTCCCAAGGGATACCAAATTCATAAAATCGTCTTCCAAAAGCTCATGATACAACTATCAATGTGGATAGTGGATTTATGCTTTTTTAAAAGAGTTCTATGATCCTTCATAATTGTGGAGGGTTTCACATGAAAGACCCCCAAACTTATTCATCAATGGTTTAGGAAATTTCTACAGAAAACTGGGTATTGTTAAGGAAGAAGGATGATTTTATTTTTTCAAAATATAAATAGAACATTCTAGGACTAGGACTAGGACTCCTCTAGCATCATCTGCTAGTTGGATGGAAATACAGGGGGGTGCAATATATAGAACATTCTAGGACTAGGACTAGGACTCCTCTAGCATCATCTGCTAGTTGGATGGAAATACAGGGGGGTGCAATATATAGAACAGTTACTACAACATTCTAGGACTCCTCTAGCATCATCTGCTAGTTGGATGGAAATACAGGGGGGTGCAATATATAGAACATTCTAGGACTAGGACTTCTCTAGCATCAACTGCTAGTTGGATGGAAATAAAAAAGTGGGGGAGAATACACGAAAACTTTCAGTAAAAAACACTCTTTGATTTGTTAGAATATCCACATAGCTATTGGCTTCTCTGTAGATATGATGAAAAGTCACCACACCAAAACTTTAAGCAAAGAACACTCTTTGATTTGCTAGAATATCTGCACAGCTATTGGCTTCTCTGTAGATATGATGAAAAGTCACCACACCCTACCTTCTCAACAGGTACCTGCAGTCAATTATAAAATTTGTGAGGTGGTAATTTTCTGTGTTAGACCCAGAAATGAGTTGTTTTAAGAGCACTGCATCAGTTTCCGCTTCCAAATTCATTATGTTGTTGTCAAGGGCTAGCTTGAGCCCATCCCTCATGGCCCAAAACTCAGCCATGATGCTTGAGCAAATACCAATGTTTCTAGTAAAACCACAAATCCATTTGCCCATATGATCTTGAATTAAACAACCAGCAAAGGCCTGTCCTGGATTCCCTTTAGATGCTCCATCCGTGTTGAGCTTGAAGGAGCCCAAACTGGGGGTTGTCCAGCTAACAGTAATGGGAGGAGTTTGGGTTTTGTTGGGACAGAGGTTGGCTATGAACTGCCATTCAACAGTCTGAGCTACCGCCCTAGAAGGAGTGAGTAAAGAGGGTGGTTTGGGTCAAAAGTGCAAGTGCTTCTGTTCTTCCATATGTACCAACAAGAGATGGGGAAAAGGATAGACCAGGGTACTGTTGAAAGATTATGACAGTGGGATGAACAATTGGAATTAACCCAGCTGATAAGGTCGACCGAGAAAGAGTCTAGAACAGAACTAGGGACGTCCAAAGCCTCCCTGAATTTTTTAGCTTCCAAGCCTTCCATATGTCCTTGTTTTTATCTATTTGTTATTGGAAATAGTTTATAGATTTAACGGTGTTTTGCTGAAGACCAAAGAATCTGATGTAAATAGAAATTGTGACAGGTACGAAAAATCGGGTAATGAGCAGTTTGTGACTGAACTTAGCAAATGGGTCTTCCATGAAAGGGGTCATCTGGAGGTGAGGAACAAACTTGCCTGATATCTGGTTATCTTTGTATCTGATTACGACTGTATATTTTATCAACTTTGGCCAAGTTAAGACTTAAAGCTTTAAGGGATAAAAATGCTACCAGAAAAGGACGTTCTCATAAGATTTTTCAAACTTCCACATGATTATGATGTATTGCACCCGCTGTTGGTGTGTAGTATTAACTTGTATTCTTGATCTTCAGGCTGTTAATGTCAGACATCACAAAGTTGGGGAAATAGATGAGCCCGCAATTTATAGGATTAATGATGACCTGGTAATGCCACCTCATATTCATTATGTCAAGATTTGGTTGCTGTGAGATTAAATTACAAATAATGGAACTTTTGTTGCCACATTCTTACAAATGTGAATATTTTGCAGGAATACTCTATTGAGATTTTTGAGTGGTCTGGAACAAATTGGGAACCATACGTGTCTAATGATGTTCAAGTGCAGTTCTACATGATGAGCCCTTATGTGTTGAAAACCTTATCAACCAATCAGAAGGTAGTTACCAAGGCCACCACTGGATGTTATCTTAAAATCTTATGTTTTATTAACATCTCATTTCATATACACATAAATATTCCTGATATTGCAGGGGATGTACATCCTGATAATCTTAAAAGAGATGATTAAGATTATCAACCAATCATAAATATTCCTGATTCATGGAGGTTTGTTCACTTCTGTAGAGTTGATTAATTACTTTAGAGTTTAGGGCACCAAACCAAACAACTTGTTTGTTAAGAAGAACATAAATACATGTTTACATTAGATTTGGCTGTTGAGAGACTACAGTAATTGACTCTGTTCTATGGGTCAGGAAAAGAATTCACTTGTTGCACATTTTTAATATAAGACATTGTTCTAAATAATCTTTCAGTATAAGACAGCAATTAACTCTGTTCTAAACAGTTAAGACAATGCTTTGTGAGTTGAATGTGCTTTTCCAAACATACTAAACATGTAAAACCATTAGACTGTAAGTGGTCTCTTTTGTGTTTTTCTTTAGCTGCTATCATGTGTGAACTATTGAAGACATTTTCCATAAAATGGCCAAATCTTTTTGCAGGCTGAAGGTGATGATGATGATGCCGAGGCTGATGATGATGAAACTGACAAAGATGCTGATATTACAGAAGAGAGTGCACATATAGGATTTATTTGTACTTTTAATTGTTTAAAAATATCAATTCCACAAAGGATCCACTTTGATATATCTTCTTTGTTGCTTTGTATTTGCAGGACGAGTTGTAGGGAGGGAGAGCACCGTTGTGGTTTTCTGCTGACAATTCACTCTCTCGAGATCTCTGAATTTTTTTCTTGCTTAGTTTATTTGTAGCTTTTAGTTTTGTTTGTGTTTTAGGAAAAGAAACATTGGTGGCTGCATAGCAAGCAAGAACTGTGGCTAATTGTTTTAATCTCATTTGACTCACCTGAGGAATTGAATCAGTAGTTGTTGGGTTTACCACCGTATGGAACGTCACTTGTGCCATTCCTTGAATTTATGTGCTATGTTATTGCCAATTGGGAAATTGGAAAGTAAGAAAATATTTAATGATTCAGTTAATTTGAATGATGCTTTAAAATTATGTATTGTGTCGAATGTTAATAAATTATGTATTGTGTCGAATGTTAACGATTTAGTTAATTTGAATGATGCTTTAAAATTATAGGTTTATTATGGATTGAATGAATTATTAGGAATTATAGGTGTATTGTTTTCCTGCTTTGGCGATCAATTTATTAGTCACGACAAATAAATAATTTTTTTTTGCAAAAAATGACAATTGCCGACCAACAGTTTTGGTCGCAAAAAATACATCTATTGCCGACCAAACAGCTCTTGGTTGTAGAATCTCACTTTTGCCGACCAAAAGTTTTGGTCGCAAAAAGTAACAAATGGAGACCAAATTTTATGGTCGTGGAATGTCACAATTGGCGACCAAACTTTTTGGTCATTGAATGTGATAATTGGCGACCAAACTTTTTGGTCGCGAAATGTGTCAATTGGCGACTAAGATATTTGGTCGAGAAAATATCACTTTTCGTGACCAAGGTGTTTTAGCGACAAAATGAATTAGTCGCAGTAATTGAATATTTAGCGACCAGAAATTTAGTCGGCAAATCCAACTTTTACCGACCAACCAAAATTTTGATCGCGAATTACTTTTGCCGACCCTCAATTGGCGACCAAAGTAGCGACCAAAAAAATTGGTCGCCCACCACCACTCTTACCTCCACCATTACACCACCATCACCACAACTACCGCTATCATCATCATTGCCATCACCGCCACTGTTGTTCTACCACCATGCCACCACCTCCACCTCCACATTTGTTCCACCACCGGCACCACTAAACATAAAAAATATTTTTCAGTAGAGAATGTTTTCCGTCCAAACAAACAGAGCGTTTAATATGTTTTAATTGCAAAATTGCTAATCAAACTTGTATAAGACTTTTCAATGGATAAAATTGCTGGTCCATTCAATTATTTTATTTATTTATTTGTGACATAGTTGATAGAAAGTAAAATTTAATCAACTTTAAATTTAAAAAGTTTTTTTTTTCGATAAACAATTGAAATTAATATAATTAATCGTATTCTACTCACAATTTATGCATTTGAGAAACTACAATTCTTAATTTCAAATAATTTGCCATATCAATTTTTTTTTTTTTCTGTAAAAACAATCATCTACTAGTTTTAAATAATACACTAGTTTTGAATTTTCGCCAAACTTTGTTGGGATCTTTTAAATTCAATTGAATTTTCCTTTTCTCTTTTTTTGAACTAGAAGAATAGCCAATATATATATATATATATATTGGGTCTTTATTTTTTTCATCAACTTTTTTGGGCCCAAAGCGGCGACTTTGCCGGCTTTGTGCCAAAGCTAGCTCTAATTGTAAATAATTTTATGATTTTATTCATATAACAACCTTCATAATTCAAGATTTAGAACTATTATGATTTTCACAAATAATAACATAATGTGAAAAATGATAACATACCAAAATTTATTATGCGAAACTTTCGAGTGATCCAAAATTGATTGAACATAAATCTAATATTAATATTAGTGAAAAGGTTTCTCTCTCTTGACCCTCTGTAGAATACGTTATATTCAGAATAATTGATGGGTGATCTAAATATACTTTTACAAGTAGAGAGAGGACCAGTTTCCTAACATAACTGTAACTTCACTTACCCATCAAAGTAGAAGGCTTGGAAACTACTCCATCTATTGACCAATCAGATAATAGCTTATGGTTTAAGGTGTAGGACTATAATCTTATGAAATCTATAATTCATATTGCCAAAGTCACCATAATAACTAAATAATTAAATTTAGTCTTATATTCTCTCACTTGGCCTATATGATAACATATATCAAGATTTAATAAGGTAAACATTAGGCGCACAATAAATCATATCCAACCTTACTTTAATTTGGTCATTATCATAATACTATAATTAAATAGTTCACTAATACGAGTTATGGTGGTTCTACATTAATAGTGCAAGATAGTCCATTCCATGTGCCACAATACTAGCAACTAGTTTAATATAGTCCTGAAGTGAGGAATACATTTAAAAGGTTCAACAATGTCTTTTTATCAAATACTATTTTTGTTATTATTAATTCATTATCATATATATACGTACATCATTCATAACAAGAAATATATCATAAACACAATTAATAAGATCTCAAAGTATAGTGGCTCGGGTTTAGACCCCAACCATTTATATTCTTTGGTTATGGGTTTTGGTATCTATTGGTGTGGTTGTCATCTGTTCTAGTTATATGTCATCTTGAAGTTGTGAATTTGTTTCTATTGAGTTATCTTGAAACAGATGAGATTTTGAGTTTTATGTAGAGGTTTTGACTCTTTGAACTTAAGTTTGCTCACACGTTTTCTTATCAATCAAGTAGTGTTTTGTTTCTTCCAGATTTAGTGTTTGCAGTCTAAACTTCTTGAAGTAGGGCTTTCTTCGCTCGATTTGTGTTTTGGTCGCTCGAGCGGTCTATTCAACAGAGATGATCTTCTGGGAGTTTGGTTTCTTCGCTCAAGCTTAGATTTGGTCACTTGAGCGATGTGTTATGTCTGACGCTCGAGCGGTATTTTGGTTGCTTGAGCGGTCTGTTTGTATAAGCTGGGAGGAAAGATCTTTTTATTTAGTTTTCTGATTTCTCTCTCTCTCTGTACAAATTTTTTTCTTCCTCTTTTTTTCCATCTCTCTCTAAAACTTGTACAAATCTTCTTATATACTCAAATCTATGAATTTCTCCACCCTAGTGCTTTGGAATTAAAGGTATAGCTTAAGGAGAAGAGCGTTTTAATTTGAAAAAGTTTGAGGTTTGTCTCCGCCAATTTGGGTGTTGATCTTTCCTTCTTCTTCTTGCTTTTGAGGTAGGGGTTTCTTTAATGTTTTGCAATTACCTCTAAGGAAGTCTTTAATCTGTTTAAGGCATAGAACTCGACCACAAGTCTGATCTTTTTGTGATTTGTGTGAAAGTTAATTTAGGTCTATTGATTAATTACTGTCCATTATGTTTGAATCAAATTTTTACCAACAATTACTCTTTTTTGTTTAGTTGGCGATCCTCTAAAAATTAAGTTTATTATAAATAATGATGTAAGGATTAGGGCAACCCAACTTTTGATGAATAATATATAGTTTTGTTACGGGTTTCTCTTCTTTTTCCTATAATTCTTACAATCTTAGGTTCAATAGATTTATAAAAGAGCTGTAGTATTCTTGTTGTTGCATATTCTCCTATTTACATTTTCGCGTTGCATCAACCCAACAAACTCTAATTCAAATATATAATGATTCCATCTGTTTACCTTATGGTAGGTTATTGCATATAAAGCAATAATATAAAAAATAAAATAAAATAAAAAATAGACAGACAAATCTAATAATTGTAACAACTTGATCCCATCAAGGTTGAGTTTGTTTCAAATTCAAATTTGAACTTGAAGAGTCCATGAGGTCCATCACGCATCTTATTTTGATGATCTTCATTTTGTAGGGTTCCTCTTTGTATATCATCCAATAAAAAAATTAGGTTGATCTAATGGTCTATTTTAAAAAACGTGCTTATTGTCAATTTTTTTTGGAGATAAGTATGATAAAATAAAAATATAACGATTATCAAATTGACCCACTTTTTTTCATAGATATAAACGATTAAGGGAGATAACCCTAATGTTCTCATTATCTCGTATTTTTCGTATAACGTTGTCTATTTTCTCTCTTTTTTTCTTTTCTGTCTTTGACCATTAGTTTATTCTTTTGAAAATTCTACTTGGTATCAAAGCAAAAAATCTGATTTGAGAGTTGGTCTGGACTGAACTAGGTTTTTTATGATGCAATGATGCAAAAAATATAAATAAATAAAAATCTCTCCATGATCGACTAGGAGAGTTTTTTTATCCTATATTTTTTGTGTTTCCATTGGAGAGGCCTTGTTAGAGTTTTTCTATTTTTTTTATGATTTTT